CTTTTTATTCTTTCCATCCTATCTAAGCCCCAGATTTTATGACTATCCACCTGTTTTTACAGTCTCCAATTTAATTGAGATGATTTCATAACATGAATTTATTTCATCACATAATGCTAATAGTCATCTGTCATACTTAGAGCAGTCCTTCAATCAAGCTTGGGGTGTTTTATCCTAATAGAGCAAATTCTCATGAATATTTTATTCCCATGTTCCTAATTGTCAGTAGAATAATTATCACACCTATATTGTTTTCAAATTTTGATCTGCTTGAGTCTTTTCCAATCTGCATGTTTTTAATTAGCACAGAAATGGACAGTAAAACCACAGAAGCATACTATTTATGTAGTAACTAAATAAGAGCATGTACAAATTTTAAAACCACATTTCTCATAATTAATTGTCTTTAATAACATTTAGTCATATAATTTATGGTGGCATAGGTTTATAAAAAATGTTTAAGACTGGTTGGTAGTCTTATCTTAGTCTTAGATTTCCTTTTGAAATGGACATTAGGGGAGCTAGTTATGAGTTAAAGAGTATTTCAGGACGCTATGTTGACTCTAAACTCAAAAGGTATACTAATAACAATTCTATAAACAGCAAATATGAATATAATTTAGTTAAGCCTACTGATTCACATTTTTAGAGCATCCTCATTTCTTTAAAGTTAAGTACTATAAACGGTTCTTGAAAGTCTATTGTGGACATGACATATTAGTCCAACTAATTGTGGGCTAGAGGGGTGAATTTATGTGAGCATCCAAATCAGAGTCTGATTTAGGGTTAAAAAATCACACTACATTACAAAAAAGTTACAGTCATGGTTAACATCATCAGTTATTCAGATAATACAGTTTCCAAAGCTCACATCATCTTGGTGACCCTCCTTTTCTTTGACTTACACATACTCTTCTTTTAAATAAGCAAAAAATATAAATGTTCACTAAAATTCTGAAACTCAACACTTGGAAGCAAGAATATGAAATGGAAAAAATACAGCCTCTTCAACAAATGATGTTGGAAAAACCGGACAGCTCATGCAAAAGAATGAAACTTAACCACTTTCTTACACCATACACAAAAATAAAAACAATCCTTAACAGATTAGGGACCTAAATATGAGAGAAACCATAAAAAATCCTAGAAATGAGCACATGCAGTAACTTCTCTGACACTGGCCATAACAACATCTGTCTAGATGTGTCACCTGAGGCAAGGGAAGTAAAAGCAAAAATAAACTATTGGGACCTCATCAAAATAAAAAGCTTTTGCACAGCAAAGGAAACAGTCAACAAAACTAAAAGACAGCCCACTGAATGGGAGAAGATATTTCCAAATGACCTATCTGATAAAGGGTTAGTATCCAAAATGTATACAACTCAACACCCAAAAACCAAATAATCCAATTTAAAAATGGGCAGAATACACGAACAGACATTTCTGCAAATAAAACATGCAGATGGTCAAAGACATATGCAAAGATGTCCAACACTCATTCATCATCAGGGAAATGCTAATCAAAACCACAATGAGATATCACCTCACACCTATCAGAATGGCTAAAAAACAAAAAACAAAAAACAGGCAACAAATATTGGTGACGATATGGAGAAAATGGAACCCTCATGCACTTTTGGTTGGGATGCAAACTGGTGCAGACACTATTGAAGACAGTATGGAGGTTCATCAAAATATTAAAAATAGAATTACCATATGATCCAGTTATTACTCTACTGAGTATTTACCTAAAGAATATGAAAACACTAAGTCAAAGGGATATATGCACCCCTGTTTACTGCAGCATTATTTACAATAGCCAAATTATGGAAGCAGCCCAAGTTTCCATTGACAGATGAATGGACAAAGAAGAGGAGGGATATATATATATACATACATATATATATGTATATATATATATATATATATACAATGGAATATTACTTAATCATAAAAAAGAATGAAACTCTGCCATTTGCAAATACATGGATGGATGTAAAGAGTATAATGCTAAGTAAAATAAGTCACTCAGAGAAAAATACTGTATGATTTCATTCTTATGTGGAATTTAAGAAACAAAACAAATGAATAAAGGGGGAAAAGAGACGGAAAAAAAAAGAAAGAAAGAAAACCAGACTAGACTCTTAACTATAGAGAACAGATGGTTACCAGAGGGGAGGTGGGTAGGAGGAAGAGTGAAATAGGTGAAGGAGATTAAGAGTACACTTATCTTAAAGAAGGGCACTGTATCATAATGAAGTGACAATCTAAGAAGATCTAACAACTGTAAATATTTATGTACCCAACATGAAAGCACCCAATGTAAAACAATTAATAACAAATATAAAGGAACTAATTGATAATAATGCAATAACAGCAAGGGACTTTACCACCCAACTTATATCAATGGAGAGATCATCTAAACAGAAAATAAACAAGGAAACAATGGCTTTGAATGACACATTGAAACAGATGGACTTAACAGATATATTCAGAACATTCCATCCTAAAACAGCAGAATTCACATTCTTCTTCAGTGCGCATGGAACATTCTCCAGAATAGATCACATATTAGGTTGCAAATCAGGCCTTGACAAATAGAAAAAGATTGACATCATACCATGTAATTTTCTAACCACAACACTATGAAACCAGAAGTCAACCACAAGAAAAAATGTGGAAAGACCACAAATATAGGGAGGTTAAACATCATGATGCTACACATTGAATGGGTCAACCATGAAATCAAAGAAGAGATTTTTAAAAATGCAGAGAAACAAATGAAAATTAAAATACGATGGTCCAAAACCTTGGCGATGCAGCAAAAGCTGTGCTAAGAAGAAAGTATATAGCAATGTAGGGTTACCTTAAGAAGCAAGAAAAATCTCAAATAAACAGCCTGAACTTACATGTAAAGGAGCTAGATCAATAAAGGAAACCTAATATTGTTAAAATGTCAATACTACCCAAAGCAATCTACACATTTAATGCAATCCCTATCAAAATACCAGCAGCATTCTTCACAGAGAAGGAACAAATAATCTTAAGATTTATATGGAACCACAAAGACCCTGAATAACCAAAGCAACCTTGAAAATAAAAGCAAAGCTGGAGGCATCACATCTCTGGACTTCAAGTTATATACCAAAGCTGTAGTGATCAAGACAGTATGGAACTGGTGCAAAAACAGACATATAAATCAACAGAACAGAATAGAAAACCCATAAATGAACTCACAACTAAATGATCAATTTATCTTTGACAAAGAAGGAAAGAATATCCATGGTGAAAAACATAGTCTCTTCAACAAATGGTGTTGGGGAAACTGGACAGTAACATGCAAAAGAATGAAACTGGACTACTTTTTACACAAAATAATACACAAAAATAAACTGAAAATAGATTAAAGACCTCAATGAGAGACCTGAATCCATAAAAATCAGAGAGGAGAACACAAACAGTAATGTCTTTGACATGAGCCATAGCAACTTCTTTCTAGATATATCTCCTGAGGCGAGGCAAACAAAAGCAAAAATAAACCATTGGAACATCATCAAAATAAAAACTTCTGCACAGTGAAGGAATTAATCAACCAAAGCAAAAGGCAACCTGCAGAATGGGGAAGATATGTGCAAATGACATATCTGATAAAGGGTTGATATCCAAATATAGTAATTACTTATAAAACTCAACACCCCAAAATGAATAATCTGATTTAAAATGGGCAGAAGACAGGAACAGACATTTGTCCAAAATAGACATCCATATGGCCAACAGACAAAAGAAAAGATATTCAATAACACTCAAGGCCAGGGAAATACAAATCAAAACTATAATGAGATATCACCTCATACCTGACAGAATGGCTAAAATCAACAACACAAAATCCACAGGTGTTGACAAAGATGTGAAGAAAGGGGAACCCTCCTACACTGTTGGTGGGAATCCACACTGGTGCAGCCACTCCATTTGAGAATGGAGATTCCTCAAAAGGTTAAAAATAGAACTACCCTATAATCCAGCAATTGCACTAATGGGTATTTACCCAAAGAAGATAAAAATAATAATTCAAAGGGATACATGCACAGTGATGTTTATAGCAGCACTATCTACAATAGCCAAAGTATGGGAACAGCCCAAGTGTCCTTCAACTGAGGAATGGATAAAGAAGATGTGGTACTTATATGCACAATGGAATATTACTCAGCCATAGAAAAGAATGAAATCTTGCCATTTGCAACAATCTGGAAGGAATAGAGTATTATGCTAAGCAAAATAAGTCAGAGAAAGACTATTATGATATGATTTCATTCATATGTGGAATTAAAGAAACAAAACAAATGAGAAACTAGAAAAAAAGAAACAGGCAAATCAAGAAACAGACTCTTAACTATAGAGAGCAAGCTGATGTTTATGGATGCTTACCATAGGGTTAAATAGATGACAGGGATTAAGGAGTATACCTGTTGTGATGAGCATCCACTATTGTATGCAAGTAGTGAATCACTAAATTGTATACCTGAAACTGATATAACTCTGCATGTTAACTAACTAGAATTTAAATAAAATTTTTTTAAAAAGAAGAAATGGCTCTCTGTGAAAAGCAACTCACCAAATAAAATTCAAAATAAGAGATTTGCAGTGCCGGACGAATGCAGATTTTATATTAATTTACTAGCTCAAAATGCAAATTCCCTTGAATTTCTATTTCCACACTATTTGGATCAAATGCAAAGAAATGAAAACTCTACAGAATTAATTAGAAAAAAAACATGCCAATTTAAAAAAAAAAAACAGCACGAATAGAAAGTCTGGTTCCAGTTTAAATGAAGACCAATAACAAATCACAAAGATTACAATACTTAGCAAAAAAAAAATAAGAAGAAGAAGAAGAGGAAGAAGAACAGATGTATTTTAAGAAAATGTATTCAAATTTTTTTAATTGAAAAATGTAAAGAATTCTTGGGAAACAATTTAACATTTCAGGTATGTATTAAATGTTAAGTATGAAAATTCAGGCTTACCTTGGCACAATGATCATCATTTAAATCCTGATGCTGGCTCATATCACCCACTAATGGACAGGGTGGATGGCTAGGGCTAAAGGCCATGAGGTCGGTCTTGGGCGCGCCCTCCCCAGAGCACACCCTCTGCCGCCTCTGCTGCGAGTACGACCAGCTCCCCACCGCGCTGGAACACACCAGCGTGGGCTTCCCAGGCGCGCACGCGCCCCCCGTGGGCGGCGCCGAGCACCGCAGCGCCGTGTACAGCAGCAGCGTGAGCACCAACAGGCTGGACACGGCGCAGATGGCGACGATCAGGTACACGTTGACGTCCACCAGCGCCGCCTCCGCGCCCGCCGCGCCCGCCAACGCCCGCGACGACGCCTTGGGCGCCTGGCCGCTCTCCACCAGCGACAGCAGCACGGTGGCCGTGGCCGTCAGCGCCGGCTCGCCGTGGTCCTTGACCAGCACCAGCAGGCGCTGGCGCGGCGAGTCCGCCTCGTCCAGGCTGCGCGTCGTGCTGATCTCGCCCGTGTACAGCGCCACGCGGAACGGGCTGCGCGCGCCCCCCGCCGCCGGCTGCAGCTCGTACGACAGCCACGCGTTGTAGCCAGAGTCCGCGTCCACCGCGCGCACCTTCGCCACCACGTGGCCCGCGCCCACCGACCGCCACACCAGCTCGCTCACCGCGCCCGCGCCGCCGCCCGCCCCAGGCAGCGGCAGCAGCGCGGGCGCGTTGTCGTTCACGTCGGCCACCTCCACGGACACGCTGGCCGTGGCCCACAGCGAAGGCGAGCCTCCGTCCCGCGCGGTCACTACTAGAGTATAGTCCGACACGCTCTCGCGGTCCAGGGCGCTGTCCACAACCAGCGAATAGTAGTTCTTGAAGGTGGACACCAGCTTGAAGGGAACATGGGGTGTCAGATAGCAGGTCACTTGGCCGTTGGCACCTGAGTCGAGATCTGACACACTAATTAGGGCAATTACAGTACCTAACTGAGCGTCCTCTCGGACAGGCAAGGATAAGGAAGTCAATGTAATCTGAGGGACATTATCATTTTTATCCAAAACCTTCAATAAAACGGTACAATGACCAGCCATGGGTGGGTGGCCTTTGTCCGTCGCGTCAATACGAATTTTGTATAAATTTACATTCTCAAAATCTAAATTCCCTCTAATTGCTATTTCTCCAGTATTTGGATCTATTTTAAACTGGTCGCTAACCATGGTTGGAACAAGACTATTAAAAGAGTATGAAATCTCCCCATTCACTCCTTCATCCCGATCAGAAGCATTAAGTCTGATTACTATTGTTCCATTGCCCGAGTTTTCAAGTATTCTTACTTCATATTCAGTCTGTTCGAAACTGGGAGCATTGTCATTCACGTCCAGCACAGTGACCAGCACCTGAGCAGTGCCTGTGAGTTCAGGTTTGCCTTCGTCAGTGGCTGTCAGAAATAAGTTATGCTCGGGTGCTTCCTCTCTGTCCAAGGATTTCCTTAACACGAGCCCAATTTGTGTATTGTCATCACTGTTTGTTTTCACATCTAGGGCGAAGTATTCGCTGAAACTGAGTCTATAGGTTAAGACAGAATTTGACCCAACATCCGCATCTGATGCGCCCTCTAGTGGAAACAGAGAATCTGGCAGCCTTGATTCGTAAATCAGCACTCTTTGTTCCTTTAAAGGAAACACAGGCGGGTTGTCATTAATGTCCTTCACCTCCACTTCCACATGGAAAACCTGCAGCGGCCTGTCCACGATTACCTCCAGGTGGATGCTGCACTCTGTGCTCCGCCCACACAGCTCCTCCCGGTCGATCCGAGAATTCACAAACAAAATGCCATTCTGCAGATTTACCTCCAGAAGATCCCTGCGACCTTTGGACTCCACTCTGAAAAGGCGCGGCACCAGTTCCGCCAGCTCAAGGCCCAGGTCCTGCGCGATGCGGCCTACGAAGGTGCCGTGTTTAGCCTCCTCCGGGACCGAGTACTGAACCTGGCAGCTGCCCTCTTCCGAGGCTACGAGGAGCAGAAGCGAGAGCAGCAGACACCGAAATCCCAGTGGGCCTTCCAGGGTAATAACCATGTTAAAAACTTGTTTTATTTCCATCAAAAGATCTGGTCTCGTCATTAAGATGAAATATTGTATGATCGGAGTCTGTTAATCCAGTTCTGCGCCTGCCATCACTCAGCACTCGTGAAACCAAGCAGTAACAGGAGAAATGAATTCTGAATACTGTAACAAGTAGATTAACTTCATGGTAGACAGCGACATCATGCGACTACAAAGGGTAAGAAATGAATTCACATAACTGCGCTATGCTATAGTTTTTTTAATTAAAAAAAATTCTTACTTTGTCTTAATAGTAAATCTCCTTATGTTTGCAATTTGCAAAGAGCCAGTTTCATCTCGTCTGACTTCTATTAATTTAGAGTAGGGTAAGGGATCAGACAATTCACAGCAAAACAACTTTCTACCAATAATTTAATCACTGTAATCAACCAGCTTAGAAAATTTGTGATCTGAAGTAACCTAGGAATTAGAAGTGCAAAGTATACTAATCTCTTTATGTAGAGAAGAAACTTGTGCATATATTTCTGTTACAGGATATGCTATTATATTTTGCTATGGGAAAAGAAAGTAATTTTAAACTAACAAATTTTATCCACATTTAAAAAATCTTATAGATTATTGCAGTCCATTCTTTCTTTCTTCATTGAATATCAAATACCTCTAAGGCTGTTTCTTTTACTTAATAATGAAAGATGAAAATTTTAGTGCATATTCTTTACATTTCTAAATTTCCCTGCAGCTTATATTAGGTCTCCCCTTCAAAACATTGTCCTAAACATACTTCATCTATGCAGATTCTGGTGGAATATCTACCCATAGTTCTTTCCTGCTCTGATCCTTCAGATGCCCCTAAATGAGTTCATCCTTTTCTCTCAATCCTAACTTTGTATATACTTTCCTTTAAGCGTTCTCATCCATTTTCAGTGTTTCAAATAGACTTTCATTGGGGCGCCTGGGTGGCTTAGTCGGTTAGGCGTCTGACTTTCGCTTAGGTCATGATCTCGTGGTTTGTGGGTTCGAGCCCTGCGTCGGGCTCTGTGCTGACTGCCAGCTCAGAACCTGGAGCCTGTTTCTGAGTCTGTGTCTCCCTCTCTCTCTGACCCTCCCCTGCTCACGCTGTCTCTCTCTCTCTCTCTCCTAGAAATAAATAAAACATTAAAAAAAATTCAAATAGGCTTTTATTGAAGGTATTCCCAAACCCACATCTTCCTTCCCCCTTTCTATGGTTCTAATTGACATTTTCACTCATGCATGGTGATGACTCTCAGAAAATAACTTGATTACACTTTGAAGATTATGAAGAGACATCATTAACAACCCCCAAATTCAAACCCTTGAAATTCTCATTTTACTGTAATGCAATGAACATTGTACATGTCACCTGTATGAATTTTTTTATCAGTCCTCTTCCCTTACCTGCTCTATTCAAAGTCTGTCAACAGTCCATCTCTCTTTTCTTTCACATACCGCCATATTTTTCTTGAGTACAGCTAAAGGTAGAAATTCCCTAACATTAGAAATCATGTCTACATGACCTGAGATGCGATCACAAGCCAGCATTTCCAGTGTTATTTTCAACTACTCTCCAATGTGAATTCTATTTTGCAGACAAGATAGATCACTTCTTTGTCTTCTTCCTCAGTACAATCTTTGTTTAAAATTTTTTTCCAAAATTACCTCTCTTTTTGCCTGTAAAAATGTTATCCTGGTATCAAAGTCAAGACCAAATGTAAATTTCACCATGAATTCATCTGTAATGTTATCAGCTGGAAATGATTAAACTCTTCCTCAAATGAGAAAATGAGAATTACAAAAATATTTTTCAAATGGACACATACCAACACCCATGCTCCAAAATTCTCATATACTTGCAAAATCCTCACAGGCAACTGTAATACAAAGCTCCCCCACTACTATAAGAATCTTCATCTTAAACTAATTAACCTAGATCTATGTAATACTCTCTATCACTGAATTTCTATTGGTTTTAGTTTGGGTACACAAAGTTCATATGTACCCAATAATAACACCCAAATGAAATTTTCCTTTGCTTGAAGGAAGATAAGCCCTGAGAAAAAGATATATTAGCTTGCAGTCTTATTGTTAGAGGTTTTCTAGAGCTGTTAAGATTTTTCATAAATTTTGTTCTAAGTGAAGAGTCTCTTCGAATTTCAACTTTAAAATTAGCTAATTAGGAGCAACTGGATGGATCAGTCAGTTAAGTGTCTGGTTTAGGCTATGGTCATGACTTAGGGGTTCGTGGGTTTGAGCCCCAAGTTGGGCTCTGTGCTGACAGGTCAGAGCCTTGAGCCTACTTCGAATTCTGTCTCCCTCTCTCTCTGCCCCACCCCCACCTTGTGCTGTCTCTCTCTCAAAAATAAACATTAAAAAATTAATTAGGTAATTAAAGTCAAGGGGTGCCTGGTTGGCTCAGTCAATTGAATATCCCATTCTTGATGTCAGCTCAGGTCATGATCCCAGGGTCCTGGGATTGAGCCCCAGGTCAGGCTCTGTGCTGAGCGTGAAGCGTGCTAAAGATTCTCACTCTCTCCCTCCACCTGCTTGTGTGCTCTCTAAAATAAAAGAATTAATTTTTTTTAAAAAATTTAGATATATTGAAGGAGGTATACTAAATGGCTTGATATTAGAGTTGGAAGGGAAACATTTGAAACCATTGTAAACCATGTAAGTGTATTTCATATGCAAAAATAAATGAAGCCCTTAAAGCTAAAAAAAATTAATCATAAATAACAATTCATCTTAAATATGTGAAAGCCAACCACGTAGAGAAACCTGAAAAGAATCATTCAGTGTGCAAATAACTTAAAAAGGAAATTAAGGGGCACCTGTGTGGCTCAGTCGGTTAAGCCTCGGACTTCTGCTCAGGTTATGAACTCACAGTTTGTGAGTTCAAGCCCCTCGATGGGCGCTGTGCTGACAGTTCAGAGCCTGAAGCCTGCTTCAGATTCTGCGTCTTGCTCCCCCACTGCCCCTCCCCTATTCATACTCTCTTTCTCTTTCTCTCTCTCACAAAATAAATATTTAAAAAATAAACAAATAATAAAAAAGGAAATCAAATTGGTATAATAAAAGCACTAAAATTATTGATATTTAATGGAAAAGAAAAGGCAAAGTGACAGTGATATTGAAATATTTCACTGTAAAAAAATTCACTGTAGTACTAATACATGACTTTGAAATAAATAATTCTACCAATATGTCATGCAAATATCTTCCTACAACATTTCTTAAAGATTGAAAATTAAAATATTTATTAAAAATTTAATTTTGGAAACACTTTCTATCCTCCAAAGAAAACTAATCCATTAACTCCACCTTTTAAAACCTAAAAAACGGGAGAGAGGGGTATGTTACTGAAATAAACTCATTAGTGAAAATCGATTATGTGCAACACTCTAAAATGAATTCTAACCATAACTAATGTTAAGTAAATGAATTAGTACCAATACCGAATTTATATCTAAAATGATGAGACAATAATCAAATATAAAACCATAATTTAAAATAAAAAAGAAGATGGAAGGAAATATTAAAGATTTATAACGAAACTTTTTGTGAATAATATTTTTGAGACTCACGGTGTCTGCAGAGCTGGGACCCTGAGGTAGGCTGGGGCTAAAGGCCATGAGATCGGTCTTGGGCGCGCCCTCCCCAGAGCACACCCTCTGCCGCCTCTGCTGCGAGTACGACCAGCTCCCCACCGCGCTGGAACACACCAGCGTGGGCTTCCCAGGCGCGCACGCGCCCCCCGTGGGCGGCGCCGAGCACCGCAGCGCCGTGTACAGCAGCAGCGTGAGCACCAACAGGCTGGACACGGCGCAGATGGCGACGATCAGGTACACGTTGACGTCCACCAGCGCCGCCTCCGCGCCCGCCGCGCCCGCCAACGCCCGCGACGACGCCTTGGGCGCCTGGCCGCTCTCCACCAGCGACAGCAGCACGGTGGCCGTGGCCGTCAGCGCCGGCTCGCCGTGGTCCTTGACCAGCACCAGCAGGCGCTGGCGCGGCGAGTCCGCCTCGTCCAGGCTGCGCGTCGTGCTGATCTCGCCCGTGTACAGCGCCACGCGGAACGGGCTGCGCGCGCCCCCCGCCGCCGGCTGCAGCTCGTACGACAGCCACGCGTTGTAGCCAGAGTCCGCGTCCACCGCGCGCACCTTCGCCACCACGTGGCCCGCGCCCACCGACCGCCACACCAGCTCGCTCACCGCGCCCGCGCCGCCGCCCGCCCCAGGCAGCGGCAGCAGCGCGGGCGCGTTGTCGTTCTCGTCCAGCACGAACACCTGCAGCGTCACGTTGCTGCCCAGCGGAGGCACGCCCGCGTCGCGCGCGCTCACTTGGAACTGCAGCAGCTCCAGCTCCTCGTGGTCCAGCGGCTGCAGCGCGTACACCTTGCCGCTCTCCGCGTGCACCGACACGTAGCTCGACAGCGCACGCTCGCCCACCCGCCGCTCCACCAGCGAGTAGGACACCCGCGCGTTCTCCCGCGCGTCCGCGTCCCGCGCGGACACCGTGAAGATGTGGCAGCCGGGCGGGTTGTTCTCCCTCACGAACACCGTGTACTCGGGCTGCGCGAATGCCGGCGCGTTGTCGTTCACGTCGGCCACCTCCACGGACACGCTGGCCGTGGCCCACAGCGAAGGCGAGCCTCCGTCCCGCGCGGTCACTACTAGAGTATAGTCCGACACGCTTTCGCGGTCCAGGGCGCTGTCCACAACCAGCGAATAGTAATTCTTGAAGGTGGACACCAACTTGAAGGGAATGTGGGGCGACAGTGTGCAGGTCACCTGCCCATTGGGACCTGAGTCGCGATCGGACAGACTGATCAGGGCGATGACGGTTCCCAGTGAAGCGTCCTCTTGGACAGGCAGAGATATGGAGGTTATGACCATCTCTGGGGTATTATCATTCTCATCCAGGAGTTTTACTATAACTTTGCAGTGTCCAGTTAATGGGAATGGACTTCTATCTACAGCATTAATATTAATTTCATATAAATTACAATCTTCGTAATCCAGTTCTCCGTTAACTGTTATTTCCCCACTATTTGAATTGATTATAAATTTAGATCTGACGTTGTCAAGAACAAGATTACTAAAAAGGTACACTATTTCCTTATTAATGCCGTCATCTGCATCTGAGGCATTCAGTTTAATAACTAACGTCCCATTCGGTGCATTTTCTAATAGTCTGATATTATAAACTGATTTATCAAATTTGGGGGCATTATCATTCGCATCCAATACACTGATCAATAATTGAACTGTACCTGTTAGTTCAGGCTTTCCTCCATCAGTCGCAGTTAGTAATAAAAGATGTTCTTGGGTTTCTTCTCGATCTACTGCTTTCTTTAATACTAGCTCTAAAATGTTTGTTTCTTCTTCATTTGTTTTAACATCCAAGTCAAAATATTCATTAGGATTTAATTTGTATTTCAATTCTGCGTTTACTCCTACATCCATATCAGATGCGCCCTCTAGCGGAAACCGAGAATCCACTATTCTTGACTCTAAAATAAATAATCTTTGTTCCTGCCGCAAGAACCTGGGCGGGTTGTCGTTAATGTCCTTCACCTCCACCTCCACATGGAAAACCTGCAGCGGCCTGTCCACGATCACCTCCAGGTGGATGCTGCACTCCGCGCTCCGCCCGCACAATGCCTCCCGGTCTATCCGAGAATTCACAAACAAAATGCCATTCTGCAGATTTACTTCCAGAAGATCTCTATGACCTTTGGACGCCACTCGGAAAAGACGCGGCACCAGCTCTGCCAGCTCGAGCCCCAGGTCCTGCGCAATGCGGCCCACGAAGGTGCCGTGTTTTACCTCCTCCGGGATCGAGTAGTGGATGTGGCTGCTCCCTGACTCCAAGGCTGTGAGAAGCAGAAGCACGAGCAGCAGGCGCCGGCAACCTGGACTCCTCTGGGAATATACCATCGCAAATTCGTTGCAATTTTCAAATATCTATTGCACTACCACACGATAGCTTTTGGAAACCTAATTCCTAATTTGCTATATTTTTTTTATTTGCTCACCTTTCCAGCTTCAGCATCAGAGTAAAAAATGGAGTGGCCCTTTTCCTTTCTGTCTAAGGAAAATAAACTCTTTGTATTCCTTTATTGGGGGAAGGAAAAAAAAAAAAAAAACCAACCACCAAACTTGCGGTTTCCAGCGCCATCATGTGGACGAAAGGGTGAGTTTTACTTTGTTATGCTTTATGTTATTTGCTTCCATTCGTTAAACATTTCCAAATTTCAATGACTCTTAGGTATTCCTTATTTTCCTTCTCTCTAATCAAAATACATCATTAAAATAAAATACATCATTACAATAAAGAATGTCAGTTTTCATTAAAACATTGCAAACTCAATTCTACATTAGTCGTACCATAACCATCTTTACTACAGTAATTTGTATTCATCTATTATTTATAGAATTCCCAGCTAACTTTAAAAGCTTTAGTTTTTTATTTATTTCCATATTTAAATATATATTATTAAATTTCTTGAGTGTTTTCTATTATTTTGATGGGATGTTTGTAACTATTTCTACATTACTCATGAAACAAATTTATATTCCTATTTGCAATATTTAATATTGACTTTCTGTTGATGTTATTTTCAAAGTTACAACCTATTTGAATAGCATTCTTGTCTGAGTTCCTTTTTGGAAGTCTGATATTCAAATTGCTAAAAATCCAATTTCTTTCATTTCTCTCTATATGACCTGCATTTACTGTTGGCTAAAAAATCATAATTTGGAGATTTACATTTTCTAGAGGCCAAAACTATAGTGTGACTTGGTCAACATCTTGACACCACTTTTTAAAACTAGATGCATCTAGGCAGCATTTCTTCAACTTGCCATTCCTGATTATATAAATTGCGAAATCACATATCTTTGCTTTTATGCAGCAAATCAAACTACTAATATGGCTTGTAGATATACTACTCCATAAAATATTTGGGTCCCAGTAAAAATTAAAAGATAGAAATCACATTATTAACTGGACTAACTCTATGTTAATTTCATCTCTTTTTAATCATCCGGTTGATTTGCTGTATGATACCACTTGGACTTACTTATAAATATGGTCAGAAGGAAATGTCCCAAGAAAATGTCACCAAGTTTTTCCAATGAAAAAGTATTTAACCTTTTGCTTGTGTATATACTCCCTAGAATTCCATAAATATTAAAAAATATGCCTTACCTATGAAGACATAGTGTCTAGTAGATCAATAATCCTATTATTTGATACTTTTATATGTAAAGCATAAACCGCAAATTGTTCCATGGGTTTGGTTTAGGTGACATATGAGACTTGAAGTATTATTTTTGTGTCACAGTATAAAACAAATATGGAAAAGTTTAATATAAAAAATAGTGAGAAGATAAATAAGAATTTAGTCAAAAATACAAAGTCAATTAAAATACACTTGCTTTCCAGTGTTCAAAGTAGTAAAATATAGGATAAGTTTCTTATATAATATTTCACAGTATATTTACCATTCCATTTAGTTTTTCTTTTTTTAAATTTTTTTAATGTTTTATTTATTTCTAGGAGAGAGACAGAGAGAGAGACAGCATGAGCAGGGGAGGGTCAGAGAGAGAGGGAGTCACAGACTGAAACAGGCTCCAGGCTCTGAGCTGGCAGTCAGCACAGAGCCCGATGCGGGGCTCTAACCCATGAACCGCGAGATCATGACCTAAGCGAAAGTCGGACGCTCAACCGACTAAGCCACCCAGGCGCCCCATCCATTTAGGTTTTCAAAGATTCTTATTCTTTCTTCTAACATGGCTTTCTACTCAGCACTCAGATCATCCAAACACTAAACAAATTTCAATTTTCAAGATTACTTACCTGTTCCTGATAATGATCATTTGAAAACAGTTCAGTATACAACATTAAAAAACAAAAAATGATAATAAATGTGTTGAAAATATCATCAGTTAAGGTTGACTTACCTTCTATTATAGAACCATAACTGATGCAAAACTCCAAAAACATATTATAAATAGATTTAGTTTTGAAAAAAGTAAATGTTCAGTATTTAACAGCCAACCTGACAGTGTGATGTTAACTATGTATGCATGGTAATTTATAGAGTATTTTCAGTACATATTTAAATATTTTGAAAGTATACACAAAGGGGAAAATGGCATAAACAGTATCACATGCTTCTTTTAGTTTGTAATTTTTTTTTCATATAGAAATTTCAGGGGAAAACAAAACTTGACATTTGACCCATCTTCACAGCTGTTCAATAATATTAAGTTTTTGGATTATCACCTTGCATTTGTCTTTCAATACTCAACTCTTTTGGGTGATTAAATTCTGAATAATTATAGACTCTCTGCTGTTAATTCCATAGACATCAGGTAGGGAAAATTCTTCAAATATTTTTCCAAACCATTATTTCAATCAAATATTATAGATTACCTTATTAAATGATTCTTTCATTGGCTAGTTTCTCTAAAAATTTTAGTTATATTTAAACCTTGATACAGAAATAAAACCCCTTCCTTGACAATGAATTTAGGTTAAGAAAACCCGAAAAAGTTTTGAGGTATCTCTACTTAATATAATGGGAAGCATTCAGGAAGATGCTACACTAGAAAATTTAATTTTGCATTGGAATCTAGATGTCCTTCATTACCTACAAAACTCCAGAATAGAGGCACCTGGGCGGCTCAGTCAGTTAAGCGTCTGACTTCAGCTCAGGTCATGATCTCATGGCTCCGTGAGTTCAAGCCCCACATTGGTCTCTGTGCTGACAGCTCAGAGCCTGGAGCCCACTTTGGATTCTGTATCTTCATCTCTCTCTGCCCCTCCCCATGCTCTGAGACATGCTCTGTCTCTCGCTCTTTCAAAAATAAACATTAAAAAAACCTCCAGAATAAAATTTTAATAAGCTATATTTCTCTATCTGTAAAAATTTACAAAAGTCTACCACACTGCCCAAAAATAAAACATGAAGTTGAAGCATCTTTTAAAGATTTATAAATAATTTATGCTGCTGCACCCAATTTGACCAAAAATTAATTACCAAAAATTATCCTATGAAAGCACATTTGTGCATATGGTATATATACTTACATTACTTTTCTAATGGTTCAACTTCCTTATAAAATATTCTGCCAAAATATTTATATTTTATGTCCATTCTAATGAGAAAAATCTGAGAGTAATTTTAAAATACCTGTAACTGAAAATGTAAATTACATTACACATAGTTTTTACTCACAATCCCATTGCCTTGGCTCATTTAAAAGTGGAAAGGGACAATAGATCTATTTAAAACTTTTGGCTCTATTCTATGTATTCACATTAATATCCATGTGGCCTCAAGCAAGTTTTTTATGTCTGAGCCACTGTTTATTCATCATTTAATTGAGAGAAATTATGATCTTTTAGGTCATATTCATTTTAAAATCCTAGGTCAAGTGAAATTCTATTCTATACTTGGTGAGGTACAAGATTCTTATAGCATTAGCCAGTGTCCAGGGTAAAAAAAGAAGAAAGCAGGGTAATTAAACAGTGATAAATTTCAATAAGCTTGGTTGTTATGATTCAGTGGTAAGCAGGAAGAAAAAAGTTTCAAATAAAGTATGAAATTTTTATTCTATTTCATACGATACTACAAAGTAGAACTGGAGAATGAGTGGGAAAGAAAAAGATTTCAGACACCATTATGGTAGATTTAAAAGGGGAAGAAATAAAATGCTCATTTCAAATAAAACTTTTCTATAAACCCTAAATCCATATTGGTCAAATATTTATGTTATCCATCTTTTGAGGACTATAATGACATCTACAACAACTATACCTTCTCAAGCACAATATCCAGAACTCAATGCAAAATTATCAGACTTATGAAGCAAGAGGATCATGAAGGAAAATGCACATTTAGAAAGGCACACATATGGGCGCTGGGCTGCCTCAGTCAGTTAAGCGTCCACTTCCTTCAGACTTCAGCTAAAATCAAGATCTTCTGGATTGTGGATTAGAGCTCTGCCTCGAGCTCTGTACTGACAGCTCAGAGCCTGGAGCCTATTTCAGATTCTGTATCTCCCTCCCTCTCTCTCTCTCTCTCTCTGCCCTTCCCCCACTTGTGCTGTCTCTCTCCCTCTCAAAAATAAAAGAAATATTTAAAAATTTAATAACAGATTGAAGTAAGAAGAGAAAATTGCTCAAGTAGAAGACTGGTCAGAATAAATATTCAACATGTAATAAAGAGACCAAAATTGTCTTCAAAAAACAGAAAGGGGCATAGAAGATATAAGAAATATGGTAAAAATATTTCACACACAAAGCACTTAGTTGCAGAAGAGGAGGATTAAAAGAATTTGATGCAGAAGTGATACAAGAAGGGTAACTGCTGAATTTTTTTCTGTGTTGATGAAAGACACCTATCCACATAGTCAAGCTTTCAAAATTGCAAACAAGATAAAATGCAAGAAAACTAAAACTAAGCATATAATAAAGCCAATGAAAATTTAAAATGATGAAAATTATAAAAAGCAGCTGGAGGAAAAGAGAAAAGGTACACTAACTGAACAATAAACTTGACAGCCATTTATTTCAAGAATGACATTCATTCCAGGGATATCATCTTGAAAACACTTAGAAAAAAATTACTTCCAACCCAGAATTCAATATTCAGCAAAACTGTTTTTCAAGTGATGATGAAATGAGCATATTTCTGATATACAAAAAGTCAGAGAATTCTTTACCACTACTAAAAAAAATATTAAAGAATTTCTTCAGAAGAAAAATGATCCCAGAAAGAAACAAAAACAAAAGTAACTGAACAAAACATAAAATGTAATCTGTGTCTATAATAAATGTATAACTGCAAGCATAACACCAAACAAAAGTAGAAAGAGGTTAGTGGTTATTATTCAAGGGCCTACCATTGTCTGAAAGCAGTAAAAGA